CTTTGTGCTGCATCTGAGGTGAGATTCATGACGCGGACGAAGTACCCCGCCTACCCCCATTCATTTACAGGAGAACTACTTTTCATTAGAACCCGACCATATGCTCTTGTGCCACGCATGCAGACATACGACAATGGCGTCGCCGGTATCCACGTTTCGGGTTCTAACAACTTCACCTTTGAAGCCACAATCGCCGACCAATGCTGGGGTGAAGACTGTGTGCTCGAGGGCGAGGGCAACGTTGGAAGCCTGGACGGGCAGCAACCTATCGAGGTCATCGTCGAGAGCTCCACTCTCGTCAAATTCCAAGACATGAAGGTCCAATCCGTCAACGGTGAGCTCGCGTTTGGTACTACTTGCTACATTCATGAGTCCTTGCAGTACACGTCTCTCTTTCCAGACCCGTATAGGTACCATGTTCTTGTTGACAGCATTTACCTCCCCTCAACCAGCATCACCATTCCTTGGGCATTGGTCGCATTTTGTGCAGCTAAGCATCAGAACCATTTTTTCTGGCGTTTCTCCCTCCGAGCCTGCTACTCGTTGCGACAAGCCTTGCGCAACATACCAATATATGAAAAACCCATATAGCACCCTAGTTTGTTTCCTTCCTCCGGCGCAATCTACACTATGCAGACCCGGTGATGACAGTCTCCTTCAACTCTGGGGTATCGTTCGACAACTGCGGCTTCTCCAACGTCGAAACTGACACATGCGTCATTCAGGTAACTCATTTTTGAGGATGGAAACCACAGAAACGAAGGGCTAGAGACAACGATCGGGCAGGTTCCGGGTCCCTGCTATGGCTCTCGAACGACTTCGAAACAAGTGGCGATCAGTGCGAGGGCGCTCGAAGCATGCCCTCGCCTCCTGTCGAGAGTGCTGGAAATTCACGGTATGCGTTCGGTATGGCAAAGAGACGAAAGCTTCTCCTTGACCACTTGCAAGAACGAGCGAGATCACGGCCCAGTTCCAGTGCAATGGGTGAAATCGCTCTGTAGAATCTGACATGAAATCTCCCAACTTCACGCGGAATTTCTTGTGGGTTGTCTGCTGTCTTTGCTGTAGTGATGCTAAACCGACGTACCGGCACGTATGAGGCGAAATGCCAACGGGTTCGAATCGTTACTCGGCTGAAGAAATACAGTACCCGAACCCTTGTCTCGATTTCAACGAGCGATCGAAATTTCAGAGATCAAACATCTAATCTGCTCTTCGAGTGGAGACATTGGGCCATTGCTAGATTGCACCTAATGCTTTAAACTTCCTGTTGAGACTATGGCGTAGGCTTCTGCATCCCTGACGAACCGGTTATTACCTACCCCGAAGTGCACCCTCTCTCAACAGCACCGACCACACACACACCCCTTTCTGTTCGTTGTGTGCCGCCATTCTTGTCGTGTAGACTGACACCACCAGCGAGGTAACGACGGGTGATGACCCGGAGCTCAGCCTCGACGGCACATGCTACGTCAAGGTGTGAGGACGGACAACCAGCAGCGCCGCAGAGGGGACATCGAAGCTCATTTCACGGCGCGCTTCCACAGGGCACCCGTTCAACCATTTTGACGCTTCAATGGGGGTTTGATGTGTAGGACGGTCCCTGTGCGCGTTGAATGTACCCTTCCGTGTGTTTCTATGGAGGTGCAACTGCATACTGTAGTCGAGATACTCTGTTGAAATGTTTGTTGGAAGTGATCAGCATCGATGGATGCTGTTCTCTACTAGAAGCACGACTGGTATGGAGCGTGTACAAGTATATTGGGATTGATGGTGTAATGTGTGTACAGGACCCACGCTACTTATCAGCTGGTCGTCGTTCTACAACTGTGCAACAATTTGTTAATGAAGGAGTGGTATTGCTTGTCGCTCTGCTCGCAATGTACATCCAATCCTGGAGGATTTCATGGGGATGTCCGGATTCGGACAGGAGTGAGTGTTGCTCGTCGTACCGTTCAATAGTCAGAGCCAAGCAGGCGCCAGCGGCACTTGATTGCCCGCTGAGCTAAACTCGCTCGGCTTTCTTGGTCGGTGCAAGGGGGTGGGGTAGTGTGAAAGAGTCCCCAGCATGTGTACGTTCTCGATATGCGCCCAATGTAGTAGCATTTGGCGATGTTCTGTGTCATACCGACTAGGAAATCGTTATTGTCGATGGTTGTTGTGATGGTCGCACATAGAATTGTGCTGGTCGACTCTTGGCAGATGTGATTCGGTCACGGCGCCAATATGCGCCTAGTGTAGATGTACCTTTCTTTCTTGTGAAGGGTCATAGCCAATATAAGGGCACGCGACGAGAATATTTTGGGTCGGCATTTTGGGCCAGCCGTCTCAGACGAACGTCAACAATGGTTCTGGCCACTTCTCAAGGTTCCTTCGGTTGAAGGTGTTTGATGCAGCTCGATCGAAGAACAATGGTTTCACGGGGGTCGGATCTACGAAACCTCTGTTTCGATAAATAACGGCACGTAAATGCTTGATTCTTGCTCTCGTCTCATGCACGCTTTAGCGACAATATCTCAGGGGTGCCTCCACACGCAAGCCCTTGCCTCTAGCTATTCCTCACGTTCCCTTGTGTTGCGTCCCCCCTTTTGTTAAGCGAGGGCGAGCATTGACCGTGGATTTTCCAACCTCCTGTGCATAAAGAGGACCAGACGCGACAGGAAGTTGGGGGTTGGCGTTGGTACCTGGCCCTAATTTATACTTCACCTAGTCTGGAGTGAATACAACAGGTTGACGGGGATGTTACCAGGCAACTATTTTCCCCGGGAGCAAATCCTGTACTGAGTGCCGGAACGATGGCAGCACATGTGACGAGCAAAATAGCAACGGCGTACAATGTGGCTATAAAACGGCACACCAAGTCGGTCACCACCGTCCTCGCTTTCCTCGATTGTGGATGAAGGCTCTCTTGCATAATATGGCCCTGAGGTTAGCAACTCGAAGAAATGTGCACGAGCGTAGTGATCGAGCAGGATTGGTAAATGACTTTTTCGGTAATGCTATTGACGACACCGCACAAAATGCCCCGAAAAAACTGGCACTGCTTTCGTATGGCTCTCTCTCAGCTGTGGAACACGCTCAAATTCGTCCCGTAGGGACCGGTGGTTTCCGAGATATGGCCCAATAGTATGTCACTACTGCTGGTTGGGGTGGTCTCCGAGCACAACACACGAACGAACGAAACTACTAGGGACCCCGGGGACAGTCGTTTTCATCCCCGCTTCTTCCGATAATTTACTGGCAGGTAAAGCCAATTGCTTGTTTACGGAAGTTTCCCCTCTGACAAGGGCCTAACTCGGCAAAACGTACATCCCTGGATCTCATGTGGTCATATTTGCGAATCTTGAAGGCCGCTATTACCACGTACGATGTTTGTAGGGGGTTGAGGGTTATGGGGTTGGCGTTGGGTTAGGGATGCGAAGTTCCCTTCTCTGTTTCACATGTTTTCTCTTATGACTGGCCCTGCTACAAGCAGGGCTTCCTCCAATCCGAGGTCTGCGTTCTTTTGAACCTCCCGGCGTGGTTGGTTACAAGGCCGCTAGTACCACCTGCGATGTTTGTAGGGGGTTGAGGGTTATGGGGTTAGCGTTGGGTTAGGGATACGAAGCCCCCTTTTCTATTTCATAGATTTTCTCGAATAACTGGCCTTGCCAAGCATGGCTGCCTCCAATCCGAGGTCTCCTTTCCTCTGAACCTGCGTGCGTGGTTGGTTACGACGAAGTGTTGTCCACATCGAACAACACTAGACTTTCTTGCGTTGCGCGAAATGTCTGCAGGCGGAATGGTTATTCCGCGTGGCTATTTTGTCAAACTACTTGCGGAAATAGCCGAGACGGCTCTACAATAATAGTGGTGATCATCGTGCTCGTTGGTGAATACTTCGCGCACCCTCCCACTTGCCTGCAGCGTCGGCTTGTTTTGCCTGTATGTCAATGTCTGCTATACGTTATGTGTGATGCATGTAGTCTTGTCTTCTTGTGGTGTGTAGAGCTTCGCATGCATGTTGAATGACGGTGTCGGCAACAGCGTGGGGGTCGGAAATTGCTTTGGACGGTGCATACGTTTCGGAGAAATATGATTGGGTGGGAGCGCAAGGTGGGTCGACCGATGATGTATTCTTGGCCTGTCACAGTTGTCGTAGAGTATTTCTTCGATTACCGCCGAATCTGCTCGGAAATATTTTGACGGAAGGAGTGAATTTGGTCAGGTCCGTTTCCATGTAGTCCACATACTTTACCGACGGCACCATTTTACCTTGAAATATCGTCATGGTTTCGCAACATGTTCACATGAACGTATTCAAGAGTATTGTGCGACTAGAGTACTGAAAGGGCAAAGTTCTGGCTCCAGATGTACATCAGTTCCCTCGACTTCCTCGTCGAGGGAGGCTCCTCGACAGCAAACAGTGAACATGATTTGGGCAAAGGCCCTCCTGCGATGTAATGCCTCTATTCGATCGAACACGGGAGATATGCATGTTGGAGTCGGGAGTCGGGGGTCGGTGTGATACCGGGACTTCAGGAACAGACAGTCTTTAATGAAAACGTCATGAACAAGGATGAAGAAGAAACATTCTCGCGTAGGGGGTAATGACAGTGAAACAGTATAATTTTAGCAAGTCGGGATATGCGAGGTGATCAACCTCACGAAAGAGGCGATTTACGAGCGTTGGGGGCATTTGGTGGAGCACTTGCAGGTTGATGCTATTCTCCCGAAGATCGATACATTTTGTGCATTCACGCCACGGGGGCACCTCTCCCGCGTTGCTGGTGTTTTTTAGATGGTACTATTCGTAAGATTGCTCGACCTGTTTGTTGGCAGCGTATCTATTATAATGGCTGGAAGCGTGCACACGCCTTGAAATACCAGGCGGTTGATTCGCCAAATGGCATAATGAGGCAACTCTGGGGCCCCACGGTAGGGCGTAGGCACGATGTGACGTTGCTTGGACAGAGTGCACTTTTAAATATTTTAGAGCAGAGCAGTCGTTCAATGACGAGATGGGAGAACCCTACTACATATACGGTGACCCTGCATACCAGGCGTCGCCGTGGCTTATGGCGCCTTTCCGGGGGGTGCTGACCGCCCTAGCAGAGGCATTCAACCCGGAAATGAGCGCCGTCAGGGTGTCCGTCGAGTGGGGGTTTGGGCGAGTTGTGGCCTTGTGGTCTTACATTGATTACCAAAAGAAGCAGCAAGTAGGTCTAAGCGCGTGTGGCCTTGGGAAGCAGTACAAGGTAGCTGGCATCCTGACGAACTGCCAATGCTGCTTCTACCCCAACCAAACGTCGACGTTCTTTGGTGTGCCTCCGCCCTCTCTCCGCGCCTATCTTGTTGAAAAGGGTTGAAGGGGTTTTTACGTGTGTATGTGTGGTGTCTGCCGGACTACGTGATCGAAAGTTTGCGACTGCATGGCGTTTGGCTTTGCGATGCTATGGAACAAAGTGCATGGCCATCACCCGGATGGTTTGTCCCCGAGCCTTTCGCTCGCGGCCATTCGCTCTTGTTGCAGCGAAAGAGGTGTTTCAATAATCCGTGTGTTTACGGTCCTCGTACGGTACTATCGTCATGTCCGGGGGGACGCAAATGCGCGCCTAGTTTACATATATATTCGGAATACTGCACGTAGCGCACCTTCGCACAAGGGCGTTGAGGGAGGTGGTTTTTCCCAAACCCCTAGCCCTTGTAAAGGGGTGTTGTAGAGCCGACTGACTCGGCTTACTGTTTAAGTGTGTGTTTCCTCGCAGATGGCGAGAGAGAGAGAAGAAAGGGATGGCCCTAAAGATGCGGACTTTGCACAATCACCGAACGTCTCCAACCACATATCCCCCATGTATCTCCCAACTCACGCAACAGCAACTTTGGACTGTGTAATTCCCTTGATTGTTGATGCCAGTGACTCACCACTCGCGCATAGAAATACGTCCGCCAAGGACCGAAACACAGCCACAACACAAGAAACAAAAAAAACAGGGGGAACCCGGCCGCTGAATCAAAACCCCTCAGAAATCCGACGCCATCATGCCGTCGTTATCACGAATGATTCAAACGGCTGTTCTGCCACAGGAAGACAACGCGTATCCAACTCACGGTTCGCTTACCACGCCAAACGACACGTGAATCGTAACAGCCCTTCCTTGTGCAGCAATAATACAAAAACGCCCGGGCGCACCAACCCCTGGCGAGGATGTGCAAGGAACTTTTTGTTGGTTGAAGTGACACCAACAATGTAGCCAGATGAACACATCAAAACGCAATAGAGATACAAACACGCAAGGGATGGGGAGAGTGACGTGCATCGGATAGTAGAAACCCTCTGCATCGTCTCATCATGCATCGAAAGAAATGAAAAGAAAAGAAACGAAAAGTTTCCCGAGAGTTGGGCACAACAATAATCGGAAACAAAATAATTCAAAAAAAATTGTCGCCCGAGTCCAACACTTTTCACCGACCTGGACAAGAAAAAAAAAAATGTCACACGGAAGAAAAGAACAAAAAAAAAACGCGCCCGAATACGACATTTTCCAGCGCATCCGGCGCCCGCGACAGGTGGTGTCGATAGCAGGTATATTGGAGGGTGGTCGCTGAAAAAAAAAGAGAAAAAAACCGTCAGTCCATGCGACACCTTCTCGCCGACAACGATTACTTGAGGCATGGAGAACAAAAGAACGGCACACGACGACACGAAGAAAAAAAAACACACACACATACTTGGACACGACAATCCGCAATCAATCCCGCCGCCGTACGCAACAAACCATGGAAGCGCGGGAGCTGCGCCCTTGACGGCGAAGGCAAAATGGCGCAGACCCGACCCGCATTCCACTACCACGGTCGCGACAGCATCTTCGTCAAGGCTTCCATAGGGGCCTCGAAGCTAACCCGCCAGACGGACGAGCTCCCAGGGGTGCAGCGGAGGATGACGACGCCCCGCGACCCGATAAACTCGGAAGGCGGACGTCGTCACTGCGGATTCGCCGTCCGGCTGGTGCCTGTCCCGACACCCCTCCAACCTCTCGGTGCGCATTCGTCCGGGCCGCAGGTCCAAGTCCTTCGCCCGGGCCGTCAACCTCGTCCGCGGCGGGACGAGAAGAAGCGCCCGAAACTGCCGCCGCGGCGGCAGCTGGGGTCGGTGCCGGAGGCGTAGATCCCCTACGGTTGGAATACTTCCCCGTCCCCATGGGGGCGGGGAACACAGGAGCAGGAGCGGCGGGGAACGCAGGAGCAGGAGCGGCGGAGAACGCAGGAGCGGCGGGGAACGAAGGGGCAAAGGTTGGTGCAGCCGCCGCCGCCCCTCCGGCAAACCTCTCGAACACGCCCAACATGTGGTCCAGCCGTTGCTCGATACCACCAAACCTCTGACCCAAGGCCCCAACCCCGGTTTCGACGGTGGCGATTCGCTGGTGCATGCTGGATGATACCTCCTGCTCCTGCTGGGGTTTAGGTGGCTGCTGCTGCTGCTGCTGCGGCGGCGGCGGCGGCGGCGGCGGCGGTGCCGCGGTCGCTCCCGATCCACTCGCACTTTGTGCCCTTTCCTTCTCTTCCTCCCTTGCCATCTTCCTCACCATGTAACCCGCGAGGGTCTTCACCAAGTCCTCCCCGCCGGCATCCTCCGACTCATACTACCTACGCGAGCGACGCGCTGACCTCACCTGCCTCCCGAGGTTGCCCGACGCCACNTGCTGCGGCGGCGGCGGCGGCGGCGGCGGCGGTGCCGCGGTCGCTCCCGATCCACTCGCACTTTGTGCCCTTTCCTTCTCTTCCTCCCTTGCCATCTTCCTCACCATGTAACCCGCGAGGGTCTTCACCAAGTCCTCCCCGCCGGCATCCTCCGACTCATACTACCTACGCGAGCGACGCGCTGACCTCACCTGCCTCCCGAGGTTGCCCGACGCCACGGCCGTCCCTACGGCGTCCCTGCGCGTTTGATACTTTGCTGAGCAGCGCCCGCCGTCGAAGCCCTCGATGACGACGTCGTCGTCATCGTCCGAGTCTGTCGGTTCTTCTCCGCCCCCACTCCCTAATAGGACGCCGTCCCAGCCCAACGAGGCCAAGCCGGCATGGAGGAGTTCGCCGCGCGACTTCCGCTTCCGCTTACCTAACCCTCCCCTAGCACCGTCTACGTCAGCAGCAGTCCCCGTTGCCGACCTCTTGCCACTAGCCTTGACATTTTCAAGGGCCTTCTTCCGCGATCGTTCGGCCCGATGTTGGTGCTCCGCTCTCACCTCCTCCCCTCCTTTCACCACTTGTTTGCACGATTCGTACAGAAGGACAGCGGTCTCGAGGGCTATCATCTGGGACCGCAATCGTACGCACAGCAACGATGATATGGCCGGCCTAGTCCGTAATTACCGTCACCGTACAGGAAACGTTGCGAAACCAAACCGAATTCGGTCGGAAAAGTAGGGCAGAACTGTTTTCTTTACCTGTGTAGCTCAACACTACATCGAACGGCCTATAAACAAAGCTTTGTCTGTGATGAATGTGCGTGTGTTCCCCTGCGGTTCATGTGCATGCGATCCAATGTTTCTTATTTGTTTCTGCCGCCCGTACTGCTTTCCCCTGCAGGATACCCTCCACTAAGAAAAAAAAAACTCCTTCTCGCCCCCAGATACACATCTATGTCCTTGTGCCCATAACGTACTATGTTTAGCATGCCTCCGTGACGGTCACAAAGTACGTACCTCCGTAGTCTCCGACTTCTCCGCCCACTGCTCGGCGGTCCGGATTCCCTCTCCTGTCTTCGCGAGAGCTTTCCTCTCCTTCTCCAAGAACTTCGAGTGGTGACGTAACCACAGTCTTTTCATCTTGTCCACCACGAGATCCCTTCAAAAAGCCTGTCCACGGGACAACGCCGAAATTGTAAAACGATTTGTTTTGTTGGACACAAGATACCTTATGTCATTGGTGAGAAGACTTTCGCGGGATGCAACATGCATCGCGAAGACAGGAAATGAAAACAAAAGAGGGAAGGAGGGAGGGTTGGGGAGGGTGTCTCAGATAAACACAAGAAGAGGGCGAAAAACAATCCACCTTTGATTTTTTGTCGGTGCACGCTCGTTTTTTTCCCGCCGACTCATATTTTGGCCTCTCGCAACCAGTTCAATACCGTTCGCAGCAATCAAGGGCTTGAATGGCAGACCCCAACTCATCCCAATTTTATGCTGCTTGTTTCAGGGTATGCTTAGGTCCGCAAATCAGCATTTGAATCGTGACCTCCGTGGGAGGGCTCCTAAACCCAGCAAGCATTCCTCGAGCGCGACCAACAACACACATGAACACGCCAAATGTACGCGAAACTCAGACGCTCCTGGTTTTTCGTATTATTCTGTCTCTGGGAATGTAATCCTTCGTCAAAATAGCCACCCCTGACTACTAGGTCGCCCATCGAACCTGCCCCCGCGACCCCCCCGCCTTGCCCACCACCTCACCTGCCCGCGGGCGACATCGACCCTCACCGTCTTCTCTCCCTGGTGCGTGGAGATCTTGAGCTTGCTTTTCTTCACGACCTTGTCGGCACACCTTTCCCACGCTTTCCCTAATTGGGCGCGTTGCCTTTGGCGCCACGGGTTAACTTCCGTCAACACCATCCAAACGAGCTGCCTAACCCCCTCGCGCACGAACAACCTGTCGCTTCCATCACCTATGCAATCCAGGCAACGACGTTCAACGAGGCGCAAAACGATTGTCGTAGTGAATCGATTCTGCGACTGGTTCGTGCGCGCTGAAAAAAAGACTCGCCTGTTCTCTACACGCTAAGTGAAGCGCTTGCATACACGTGAAGGCCAGCCATANTCGTATTATTCTGTCTCTGGGAATGTAATCCTTCGTCAAAATAGCCACCCCTGACTACTAGGTCGCCCATCGAACCTGCCCCCGCGACCCCCCCGCCTTGCCCACCACCTCACCTGCCCGCGGGCGACATCGACCCTCACCGTCTTCTCTCCCTGGTGCGTGGAGATCTTGAGCTTGCTTTTCTTCACGACCTTGTCGGCACACCTTTCCCACGCTTTCCCTAATTGGGCGCGTTGCCTTTGGCGCCACGGGTTAACTTCCGTCAACACCATCCAAACGAGCTGCCTAACCCCCTCGCGCACGAACAACCTGTCGCTTCCATCACCTATGCAATCCAGGCAACGACGTTCAACGAGGCGCAAAACGATTGTCGTAGTGAATCGATTCTGCGACTGGTTCGTGCGCGCTGAAAAAAAGACTCGCCTGTTCTCTACACGCTAAGTGAAGCGCTTGCATACACGTGAAGGCCAGCCATACAGCAGTACTACATGAACTTTACGTATTACAAAGTGGTACATAGTAGTGCCTCGGTTTCCCCAAAATATCTATCGTATTGAATTGCAACTACTCTCAATACTCGGTGTGGCAGGTTTTTATAATCTGTGCTGAGCTCAGGCTGTGGGGGGTCCTCAACTCTATACCTCGACCTACATAGCTTCAAACCACTGCCGTGATCGTGCTATCGTCCATTGTAGATAAAAAGTACGCGGCATCCCGCAGGTAGGTTCCGCCGCGGTGCCGTACTGCTGTAGGTTGTTACAAAAAAAAGAGACCGAGAAACCATTTTCAAGTTCTCACGGAACACATGTTAAACCTTAGACTACATACATGTGTATATCTATAAGCGCATGAGGAACAACTTTCCACACTCACCAGAGCTTGTGTCGTCATCCTCGTACTTCCTCTTCTTGGTGCTGCTGCTCTCCCTGTTCGTCCTCCTCTCCCTCTTCCTCCTCCTCCCCCTCTTCCTCCTCCTCCTCCTCTCCCGCCCCGCTCGTGAATCTTCGTGTTGGCGGGCGCTGTCGTGGCCCACGCCACTCGCGTGTGCCGAATCCAGCGAGCTATCCAGGTCCAGCGGATCTGCGGCAGTCCCTAAAAGCGACCTCGCCGCGCCACGGCCTCGCCTCCCGCTGCTGTAGTCGAACGCCTCGTCAAGCGGTTTGGGCCTCGGGGTACGAGGTGAGGTACGACTGCCGGCGGGAGAGCGCCGATAATCAGGGGAGGCCTCAGATTCGCTTGATCCCCCTGTGGAGGCCATGTCGAATAAATGCGACAGCAGCACCGCGAACGCGCCGGCCCCAGGGTCCACGCCCCTCTTCGCGAGGTAACCCAGCCCCAAGCGCTTGTGTGTTTGACCAAAAAAGAAACGGCCCTTGTCAGGGAAGGCACCCCTTGCGAGTGTTGTCGCCGCTCCTCTCACACCGCCGGCGACTCTCACACACGAAACCGCGGAGCGCTCCTCTTACGCGGGCCACACCTACCAAGGCACCGACCAGGCGGTTCACACTTTCCCCGTTCGGCAGGAGGTAGACGCAGAGGTNTGACCAAAAAAGAAACGGCCCTTGTCAGGGAAGGCACCCCTTGCGAGTGTTGTCGCCGCTCCTCTCACACCGCCGGCGACTCTCACACACGAAACCGCGGAGCGCTCCTCTTACGCGGGCCACACCTACCAAGGCACCGACCAGGCGGTTCACACTTTCCCCGTTCGGCAGGAGGTAGACGCAGAGGTAGCCTTGCTGTTGTGGTTAGATTGCGCGTTGCCTCGTTGCTTAGCAGACGTGTGAACGAAGTGCCCCTTGGCGGGTCTCTTCGCGAAAGCACAATTTTGGAGCGCCGCAATTATCCTCTCTTTGAAACAAAAGTGCTCTCCCAAAAAAATACCTCCGGGGAGGCGGGCCATTTCTCGGGAGCACTTTTTTCCCACGAGAGCACAATTTCGCCCTCAGAGGCACTTCTTTGAGTTCACAGGGAAACCCGCTAATGTTGTTGTTGTTGTTGTCTTCACATTAAAAACCATCCCGGTCTCTCCAGTACCTCCTTCTGTTTCAATCTCTCCGTACTAATCCAGCACTTGACTCGGTCAATTTCCGTGGTCACATGCTAACGTACCTAGAAAAGGTATACCAAAATAAAATGGACCCCAAGGGTTAGCAGAGCGATAAAATACAAGAAAACAAAAGAATCAGAAACAAATAAATAAATAAATAGTGGAACGTGCGCACCACCAGCATNAATACCATCTTTATTTACCCAGAAGCCACGAGTTCACCAACACGCTAGACTATAGCGCCAGATATCAGTCGACTGCTGCTTGTCCCCTCGGACTGCACGAAAAGACTGAGCGGAGGAAGATTGATCACCTTGCTTCGTGATGAGAGTGGGCCTGCTGGGGATCATGTGGATGACCCACCTCCGGGTGTTTCGCAGGATGTTATTGGTGGTTGGAGATTGGATTCGATTGAGACACAACAGTAGAGTTGTTCCAGCTCACGAGCATAATCAAGTCGCTTGTTGGGCGACGAAGTGATCAGGTGGAGTCCTCTGTTCCAGTAGCTGCCTGACTACACCCGGAGGCGGCGGAACAGAGTACGCTGGTGCGCGTCAATCGGATATCACCAGCAGGACTGCGGGAGGTACGGGCAGCAGTGCCCGAGTCCTTGACATGTCCAGCATGTGGGTGTGGAGTAGTAGTCTTGCAGGCTCTGACTTGTGCTGGTTGCTTGTTGTACTGCCAGCGGCGGAACCGACGCCGGTTGGCACCCTTTAGATGCTACTGGCAGGACTGCGGGAGGTGCGGGCAGCAGTGCCCAAGGCCTTGCTTGGCATGTCCAGCGTGAGAGTTGGGAGTAGTAGTCTTCTAGATAGGCTTGAGCCCTCTTGCATCTGCTGTAAATCGTCCCTCTGCGGGTGCTGCAAGCTTTGGTTCGATTGGAACTGATAGTGGGGCTGCCAGCGCAGTGTTTGATGGCAATTCATGAAATAGCCTCGATGGTCTTGATGGTATGATGGCTACTTTCGACGAAACAGTTATTTTTCAGACTTTCGATAGCACAGTTGTTGCTACTGCTGTGTATCGTCTGGGTGATGAATCTGTTGGTTCGGTGTTAGTTAGCTGCCTTCACCCCTCTAGACCCCAAAGCAACGAAGATGGATGTGAACGAGTTTCATTGCGTTGATGGTCATTCACATGAGGGTTTGCTTCGAACAACTGCAAAGCGACTGGGTATTGAGTTGACTGGTGAAATTCATGCGTGTACGGGATGTTCGATGTCGAAGGCATTCAAGGGATTGCTCATAAAACTAACCGCAGATAAGACAAAAAGTTGGGCAGAGTTTTTCTAGACCTGGGGGGACGGAAGGGCGTTGCGTCCGTAGGGGGTAAACCTTGCCCCATGATAGTGAACGATGATTTCACTATAGTTGGCGCCCGCAGTTAAGATATATATTTTTAAGAAATTCCTGGGTTCCCACGTTAAATTGACACGAAAATTTTGGACTGAGATAGATTGACACCACAAAAGTGACGGTTGGCAAATTGACACGAAAGAAGGCAACGGTTGGTAAATTGACACGAAAATTTTGGACTGAGATAGATTGACACCACAAAAGTGACGGTTGGCAAATTGACACGAAAGAAGGCAACGGTTGGTAAATTGACACGAAAATTTTGGACTGAGATAGATTGACACCACAAAAGTGACGGTTGGCAAATTGACACGAAAGAAGGCAACGGTTGGTAAATTGACACGAAAAAATATTCCGCCGCACGTTGCCTGGCGAAGGCCAGCAGCGGCGCAGCCTCAAGTTAAAAAAAAATCAACCCCAGCTGCACCGCTGCACCGCCGGGAAACCCAACGGTCGCGCTCCCTCATCACCGCACCCGACACGGAGCGAGGGGATGGCGCGCCTTGCGCAAGGTAGAATCCGCTACGAGTGGTATGATGAGTGCATGCAGGTTCTACTCCTTGCTGTGCTGTGCGCGCTAGCTGGAGAGGAGGGCATGTTCCTCGTGATGGTCATGTTTGGCGTAGCAAAGCTAGAGACATGTTTCCTCTCGACTCCCGAGAACTAAACTCCGCGAACTACACTCCCCAAATCCCAACCACCGCCAGCGGCTTCGCGCCCCTAGTACGTGCGCCCAGAGCTACCGTCTCTTCCACCAACAACTGCTGTATGTAACCTCTCCCTTCACGGGCGGGGCACCCGACTAGCTGCTGTTGTGGTTATCTCCCGTGTGCTTCGAGTCCAGAGTCCAGACAGACCAACCTCGGCGTGTTTTGTTCTCGATCCCGCGATGAACGCACACGATCCTAACCACGGCTTGACGTTCCCCTATCGCGATGTACTCCCCGGAGCGTTGTGTTCACGTGTGTGGGTGTGCGGGAAGCTGCGTGCGAGCTTGCCGACTGAGTTGATGCCTTCGTGTGTGTGCGATGGCGCTCGTGTCAATTTGTCGTTTTCTCGTGTCAAAATACCTCAGGTGAAAATATTTTGACCACGTTTTCGAAAAATTCTGACCTGTGATTCTGACATGAAAAAGTGCGGCGTAACCTCTCGTGTCAAAATTCTGACGCCCTCGTGTCAAAATTCTGGTCTCGTGTCAAAATTTCGTGCTCGTGTCAAAATTCCTGACACACGTGGGACCCATGCATTGAGGCTCACTTTTTCACGAAAAATATGAAAATCAGCGTCTCGGACATGCCCCCGAATAATCTATCCCGGACCAAGGTGGTCGGTGCGGACAGCCTCCACAGTGTCAGGGCGAGGGCAACATCAGCTGGCACCCTCGTCACGCCATACCCTCCTCTGAAACCACGAACGAGCGGTTGTAACCGGAGAACACAATGAATGGTGGAGGGGTAAGGCAGGCGTTAGTACTAACAGCGAGAGGTGACTCCACGGTTCCTAATAAGTCGTATAGGAAATCGGTGTGCATACAACAACGACCACCGTAATGAAAGCACGTTCTTCAAAGGTACCAAAATCTTACGTACGTCAGCAGTTGCGCGATCCTCACTCGCTGTTGCGTGCTACGAGCGCAACAGCAATAAGCTTACCTCAAGATACAGCATGATCATACTGGATAGACGTAACCCTCCGCTGCCGCCGCCGAAAGGGCCATCGGATTTGGCAAGTCAAACACCTTCTTCCTACTCTAGAGAAGCTTGCGTAGGTGCTCTGTGTGTTCGTGACCTCGCTCATCTGCGCATTTTTTACAATTCGTGTATGTTGTTTTGTTGTTGTTGTTTTTCTTCCATCATTGGACTCTGCCGTCTGTCCCTCTGGCCCCTATCCTCCACTTCTACTAGCTAGACGACCCAACCGGGGTCACACAGGAGGGGGGGGGTTGGACCCCCTCCTGCTGTTCATGCCTGAGGTATTTTTATCGCGAGAAGGGTACAGCAATCCCTTCCCTCGCGACTTACGAAGTCGATTATGGTTTACTCACAAACGAGCTTTCTTTGCAGCGCGTCGCTTTCGTCCTAGACCAGGATTTATTCAGTGAGAAAAAAACTATCTCTGCCGGGAATCGAACCCATGGCCTGGCCCTTAGCAGGCTGCGAGGCTACCCAATAGACCACCGGGGCGATCGGTGCATGTGTGTGCGCGTGTTTTTTTTTCAAAGAGCGGGACAACACCAGCAACTAGCCTACCTGTCGGATTCAGGGCGCATCTCCAGGACTGCTGCAGCCAAGAAAGAAGCCCCAAGTCGTACCTACATGTAGCGTGCAGCCTCTAACCCCGCCCTTCCCTAAGGACATGGCGACCACTTGTGCTGTGTTGCGACTCTTCGCGCCACATGCTCACCTCGAAACTTCGAAGCTGTCCGGAAGCTCCAGCCTTCGTAGAAGCTGCAAGAAATGCGGGTTCTCGAAGCGAAATACCTCCTTGAAGTCAAAGCCTCCGATAGCTTCGAAGCAGTTGAGGTTCGGGAACAGGCCTTCAAGCGTGGTCGGGGCAAGTAGCTCATGATGCCGACGCCACTCGTACAAGCAGCAGACACACAGCAGCATGCACAGATCCTCTTCCCCAGCTACGCCACAAATCAAAGCTAGGGGGGTCATATGCGAGCATGACTGATATCGCTCGTAGCACACTCTCCCGCGGTTCAGTCGCGCCATGAGTTTGTGTCGCGCGCAGCCACCACGACAGCAATTGCAGCAATTCTTGAGTGGCGAGCAAGTTTGACGAGGGTGCCCGCGGGGGCCTGGGGCCACGTGTCCACAACTTTTACTTGGCGGGGGGGGGGTTCGAACCGACACAACCGGCACAAGCGGTGCGTTTTTATTTCCCGCCGGGCGAGATCACAATTTCAAACCGGCACGCACTTTTTTTTTTACCCCGCCGAGAGCACAATTTCGGGGGTAGTTTTTACGGGGGAAACCCCTCATTGATCAAACCTTGGTCCAGGAGAACAGGTCAAAAGGTGGAGTGAGCGAGGTGGGTATGCACAGCACCCCAGCAGCATCACGCTAAGCCATCCACCCGATCACGCGAAACACGGAACTCGGTCCAATGTACTACAGTCGACCCCGCTTCAAAGGACGCTCGCGATAAGGAAACTCCCCGCTTAGAGGGAACTCGTTGAGGTGAGCACCGGGGGCCCGGCAGAATGTACGATAATGGGAAACCCCCATTTTTTCTGCCGCGTACCCCCCATTTTTGTGTCCTGCGCGGGCCTGCGGGCCGCTGTTTGCACCAACCACGCACCACAGTAGTGAGTGCAGAAGTAGCGACGCACAGACATGCTGCTTATGGATAGATTCTTCCCATCTACCGGCGGTCCATCTGATGCTGCCAAAAAAAGATGTCGTGCATAACATCGTCCCTCACCGAGGGCGAGGTTATCTCTCGCTTGGACGACGTTCGATCCTTCAGATAGCGCCCGCAGTTAGGAACGTCAAAATCGGCTCGAGCCTCACCAATCACTTTTTTTGGGTCGAAGTACCGGCCCAAGTCGTCCATTTCGCAAATGGCATCTCTTCTTCCTTTGGACTGTCGCATTCTCCCGATTCTCTTATTCCTTAGAATACAACGTATTTTCTGTTTTCTGTCTTTTGATCTCTGAGGACAATCCACATCATCAAACCCGTACAACAGCGGAGAGCATATGGTTGTCCGCGATGTGTGGCAGTACTACAGTGCAACACTCACTGTGAAAAGCAGGGGCGCGGGGGGACTCTGCCCCCTACCAAAAAAATGCACCTCTATTCAGCTTGGGAGGGGGTTGGGAGCACCGCAGATTCTGATGTCATGGGGGTATCGTACCATCACGTTTCTTATTGGGGCGTTTCTTACGTTGTGGCCGAGATTGATCTATGTTTCTTAGCCCTTTTTTCTTATTTTTCGTACAAAGTTTAGCCTCTTTTCTTAGAATTTTTCTGAACTGCGGGCGCTATCTGTATTTGTACGCGAAGGGAAGGGGTGGCAAGTACCGTCGGACGCAGTACCTTCTTTCGAAGACCGTCATTCGTTTACTCAAGAAACTCAACAGAGCCGTAGAGTCAAGCCGCGGGGGGAGGTTCAGGGAACTCTCCGTGATATGTGGAAGGAAAAGCCTGTTCGTGTGAGTGCGTATGTAGGTAGTCGGATCTGTAGACGAGATTGATTACTGTTTCAGGTGCCCTGCACATACAGTGTGCGTTGGTAGTACGACCAGAAAATGATTATGCGGAGCCCCTTTGCAGAAATTATGCCTGGCGATACCTCAGCGAGCGATAGCGGCGGAACCACGATCGACACGCGCGTGACGGAGCTGTCCACGAGGTTGGAGGAGCAAAGCAAGGTGCTGTCGGCTGTCATGGAGAAGCTAGGGCAACTTCAGATCCCGCCTGCCAGGGCGGCGGGGGCAGACGAGGGGGAGTCAAGCGGCGCTGGCAACGCCGCAGGGCGCGGAGGAGCCGGTGGAGTTGGGGGAGTAGGTCCCCCGGGTCACTCATCCGCTGGACCCCCGCTGGGAGGCAATGCGCATGGAGTTTGGATGCAGGGGGTGATGGATAAGATGTCATCGCTGCTGCAGGCAATGCCAGGTTGCGGAAGCCGAGGGGGGTCAGGCGGTGTTGGAAGACGCGCCGCATCCTGCGGTGGGATTGCCGGAATCTCGCCGCCAGCCAGCTGCCTATCAGAGCTGCACGCTGCAGCTAGCGTTAGAACAGATGACGCCGCTGGAAGCGAGAGCAGCAGCAGATCGGGCACGGAAGGTGAAGCGGTGCGGGCGTTTGACGTCCCTGCAAATGGTGGGTGTGGTGAGTCCCAGACCATCGACTTTCTCTGTACGGTGGGCAGCTCTAGCAGAAGCACTGCTTAGGGTAGCTTGACTGCCCCGTGCACACGGGACCAAGTGTCAGGACGTGGAGCCTGGAGGATATTCCTTCGGGGCCACAAACATGAGCGACCTGTTGGGACCGGCCCAGTGACAAGGCAGCAAAGGGGCGTCGGCGTCGGTGGTGGAATAGCGGGCGGCACAACACACGAGCCTGTTGCTCGCGGGAAAGTACTCGCTCCGGGAGAACCGGAGGATTGCACTCATGGCGATTTTTCAAGGAGTGATGCCGTGGGCGGTAGCTTGCTCCTAGAGATAGATCAACGTTCTGTCGTTGACACGCTTGTCCACGACAACGTTGAGATGGGAAAGTGCTTGTTTTTGCTGAGAGACGATCAGCAAAGGTCTGGGATGAAGTGGGGATCCAACTTCATCTCAGGGGGTACACAGAGTAGACAATTCTAAGGGGGTAGGGGTCAAAAGGGTATACCTCCTGACCGACCTGCATCCTATCAACAATAAGATGTACCCTATTCATGCTAGCAGCCCCACTCCTCAACACTAGCCCACCCTGAATATCACTTATGCAGATTCTATATCAAATCAAGGCTCAAATCCTAGTCTAAAGCTACAGTAAGATTTTTGCTGATGATTTATCATCATGAACCGAAGATATGACTCTTCACAACACATCCAAAAGGAGGGTGAGTTGTAGAAATATCCCGAATCAATCCCCCACACCATCATTGAGATGAAGAATGCGAACGGTCACGAGCCGGAACATCGACATCTCAATGACAACGCTTGAAGGGATAAAGCTACGAAGAAAATATATTGCGGCAGAGCGCGCTATGATCCTGAACAGACGACGACAGGGACAAAAAATCAATATCCAGACCCCACACACCACTCTTTTACGCCCACCCGCGCGTATCACCGCTGGAGGAACGAGGGTGACTACCCGAGCGAGTCCAAAATACGGTTACGAAACTCAAAACCCAAACAAATTTCCGAACGAATACGGCCTTTGATACTGGACGCGACGCAAAGGGAAAACTCAACGCAATCTAGGACGTTAACGAAGGGCAGGAGGAAAGCACGACAGGCGAAGGCACGGAGAGCGATGGCCAGCATGCCAGGGTACCCAACCCGAATAAGGAGACGGCAGGGGCAAGGCTTACTGAGGACCAAGAATGCAACGCACAAGCGATTAATGCAAGAGAGGCGGTCGACAAACTGCGCCATGGTTCGCTGGCGATACGCATCATTCAAAGACATAAAACACAGAAAGTCGTAGAGATTCACACAAGACGACGACTCAGGGGCGCTACTGTGATAAAGGCGTCGCCCGAAGGTGGCGATGATGGAGACGAAGCAGAACGAAGTGTGGGTGACGACGAAAATCTATGGGAGACGGCGACGCCACGGGATGGAATCCCGAAGCACCAAGCGTATGCGACACTTCTGCGGCACGATGGAACTAAAAAAAATAAGACAACATTAGTTGGCAAACAGGCAAACCAGGAAAACGCGGGGAACTCGATGTCCAAGTGTCCCGAGGTAAATATCACCGACGAAACTTGGGGAACTCTTTGTCCAAGTGTTCAGAGGCAGATAACACCGACGAAACTTCGGAGGGAGCTTGTTGAGAGAACCAAAGACCAACAACAACAAAAAAAAATTGAATCAAAGGCGAGAGAGAACGGACATCCAGGTCGCGGCAGTTCACTGATTCAGATGAATGCAGGCAACAAGGAAGAAGGATCACTCGACACTGCGTGTCTTGAGGCGGCGTTGCCCCGGTGTTCAAAACAAAAATAAGTCAACGAAAGAAAAGAGACAAGACAGAAAAACAAACAAAACAAAATAAAACAAAACGGAAGGTGACAGAAAAAACAAAAAAAGCAAAACGTCGTCGAGAAGGATGGCACAAAAGACCAAAATATGCCGATTGGTATATGAAACCGACGACGCTAAGCAGAAATGGTGGGAACAGCCGACGGTAAGGAGTCAGCAAGGAGCGGAGTGCGACCACGGTTGTCGCCCAGAGGGCGCGAACGATGTTTCTCTCAACACCATGATCCACAGACGGCGTCCAAGGCGGTGGAGTAGAGATGCGCAGGCAGAGGCAGAACGCTTGGGCCCGGGTCATCCAACAATCGAACGATGTACGAGCCGCCCTGATGAGCACCAAATCGTTCGGTCCAACACAATCCATCACGGGCCTTGTACCACAGCCGCGCGCCAACAGGGAGGGGCGAAGTGCTGAAACGGCGAAGCCAAGTCGCATTAAGCACAAGATCAGCCCCAGGAGGCAAATAGCGTTCTCCACGATTCCGGGCTAGCTCCCGCTGTGCCGCGCGAGTCCGAGCCACTCGATATGTACGGTTACCCTGCTTGCTTTGGCAGACCTCCCGGGACCAGTGCAGGTGGATGTGTCGACGGAATTGATCAAGGTCGGATTCCCGTTCCCATGAAGGAGTAGTCAGGCCTAATCAATGCGTCTGGTAAAGGACAGCGAGAACGCCGCTACGGCCCCGCACCAGTTGATGTCCCGAGATGCAGTCGACCTCGAGGCGCCCGACAGGCACCGACACATCATCCGCGGTGACGTGGAAAGGTGGACATTTATACCCGAAACAGTGCAGAACATAACGCGAACGCTCGGCGGGCAGAGATTGCGGCAAGTCGTCCGTCTCGTACGGATTGCGACAGGGCTTGCAACGAAGGACAGACACGCGACAACGAGCTGTCGGGCCGGAAAGATCGGAAGGCAGGAGNCCGAAACAGTGCAGAACATAACGCGAACGCTCGGCGGGCAGAGATTGCGGCAAGTCGTCCGTCTCGTACGGATTGCGA